AGGGGTCTGTTAGACCTCTGATGTCTCTCATGCCCTTCAATACAGACGAGCAGCAGCAGCAGCCATAATCATGGTATAACCAATTCAGGACAAGGACGTCTCTATACATATAGCAGTCCTAAAGTTGATTAAAGGCAACTTTTATTTTAAGATTTAGATAGAATAGTGAAGAGACAGAAACACTCAGATGTTTATTGCTGCCTCTTCACCCATTAGGGAGATTCACTCTAATTGTCCTGATCACCACCTAATGAGAACGAAATTGAGGGTAAATCCAAAACTTTAAATTGCACCGTAACAGGAATAGAAGGGTAATCGTCCAACGGGGACACTTATTCCTGTGACAACTGTCTAAGAGCGGGTTTTCCTTACATTGTAAAGATATCCTCTGATTTCCTGTTGAGTCTACAGGAGAGAAAGTGAAGGGAAATCTCCCCGAGATACAGATGTAAAAAAAAAAAACTAAAAACGGCCAGCTGTTTTAACCCTCCCCCCACTCTATTCAAAATGAGAATTCTTTTTTGCTTTTTGATATAAGTGGCTCATGTACTTTTTCCAACGACAGGCATTTTTCTGCTTGCGACAAAACGTTCAGGTGTGAAAAGGGGCCCTAGAAATAAATGGGATTCCTTGTCTTGAGCGTTTTGTCGCACTCAAGGCCAGCGAATGGGACTCCTTGTCTTAAGCTTTGTGTGACATAATACCTAGATGTGAATGGAGAAAGTATGACAACTGAGTGGAAAATTGGGGAGTGTAATATCAACACCCAGCTAGTAAATAAGGAAGTAGTAGTTCTGCTTAGGCCTATCACCTCATGGCTCCAGAAACACTGGTGTCCTCTACACCCCTCTGTATTTACCCCCCAAACCTCTAAATTACTTAATGAACCTGGCCTTGGGGCGGCAGGGGGAATAAATCCGGCCCTGTATATTGTGTCTGTGTATAGGTTTGTATAGGCTTGTAACCTGAGCCAGCACTACAGGAAGAGGCCCTGAGCTGCAAAGGGAAGTTCTCCCCAAGCATGAGAAGACATGAGGATTTAAAAGGAAGAGCAGCAAAGAGAAGGGAAACAACCATGGATAACAGTAAGGCACACATTACAGTATTGTTTTATGTTAAAAAATCTGAGGGTTTAATGTCACTTTAATATTATTTATATTAATTCTATGACTTTACAACGTTCAATTATTTTACTTGGTTTAGTGGTTTTTAAACCAGCTTATGAGTGTAACAAGCCACTTCCTGTACAGCACAGACAGCTTCATTTCTGCTCACACGTGTTTTCTTTTTCTTTTGTGTGGGTAGCTAGTAATAGTTTGCAAAGTCATCACAATGTACTATTAATACAATTTTTTTATACTTCTATACAGTATACTGTAAACATTATGGGCTCCCAGTCACACACATGCAATTTGAAGCGCGTTTCCAGAAGCGCTTCAACACTTGACACTCCATATTATTCTATTGTGCCTGTTCATATCTGAGTGATCTGCTGACGTTCAACGCTCAGAAAAAGCGCAGGAGCTGCTTTGGGGCATGATGGGGCATTTGTGGGCCCAATAGACTTTAATGAGAATCCTCCTAGCAATTAGCTGTCAGTGTCCATTGGCTTAAAGTGTATTCCACTTACTGTCAGTCATTTTGGTGTCAACCCTCCAATGGTGTCACCCGGGTACAGGCCGCACCCCACGTGTGACGCCACTGGATTATTCTATGCAACAACTCCAACGCTCCCAAAAAAAGGAACAACACCCAGGTAATGGCAGCCTAAAACTAGGAATCATAAAAAATACCAAAACTAGAATTATTACATATATATTAAAATCAGTGAGGGGGATTGATCAAAACTGGAGCAGACAGAATCGGAAGCAGTTGCCCATGGCAATTAATCAGCATCTCTTTTCAGTTTGTTAAGTTAAGCTTTGAAAATGAAAGAGAGAAGCTGATTGGTTGTTATGATCTGCTGCTGCCACATATTCTGTCTGCTCCAGTTTTGATAAATTCCACCCATTGTGTTTTTAAAAGAAAAGTCCTTCATGGCAAGAGAAATGTCTCTATGAGCCAACCTTAGCAGAACTCTAGGCAGAAATGTTCTTAACCCTTGCTGTGGAGCGATCCGTGCATAGCAAGGGTTTAGTGCCTGTTTTTATCAAGGTGCTGAAAAAAAGGTTATACTCACCTGATCCTCAAAGCCGGCTTGCTCTTAGACTGGTCCCAGGAGCTTCTCCCCCCTATCCTCTGCAGCAGTCTAAGGATACTTGAGTCATCACGTTCTATACACAGTGTATAGGACCTGAGGAGGCAGAGGAACATAACATTGCTGCAGCAGAGGAGGAAACAAACTCCAGGGACTGGTCTAACAGAGCGGTTCGGGGGAGTATAACTTTTTCTTTTTTTTAGCACCTAGACAAAAACTATCACTTTACCCTTGCAGTGCCAGGGTAGCCTCCTGGCAAGGGTTAAGAACATTTTTGCCAGCAAAAAATTAACAAAGAAGCTGATGCTCAAGTGTGATTCCAGCCTTTTAGTAGTAGTTATAGTACTAGTAGTAGTAGCAGAATAGGAGTAGTAGTATTCCTGCTGATGGTATTTTTGTCATACAAGTGTGATTCCAGCCTTTTAGTAGTAGTTATAGTACTACTAGTAGTAGCAGGATAGGAGTAGTAGTATTCCTGCTGATGTTATTTTTGTCATACAAGTGTGATTCCGGCCTTTTAGTAGTAATTATAGTACTACCCTGTTTCCCCGAAAATAAGACACTGTCTTATATTTTTTTTGCCCCCAAAAACCACACTAGGTCTTATTTTCAGGGTAGGTCTTATTTTCGGGGAAACACGGTAGTAGTAGTAGCAGGATAGGAGTAGTAGTATTCCTGCTGATGGTATTTTTGTCATGCAAGTGTGATTCCAGCCTTTTAGTAGTAATTATAGTACTAGTAGTAGCAGCAGGATAGGAGTAGTAGTATTCCTGCTGATGGTATTTTTGTCATGCAAGTGTGATTCCAGCCTTTTAGTAGTAATTATAGTACTAGTAGTAGCAGCAGGATAGGAGTAGTAGTATTCCTGCTGATGGTATTTTTGTCATGCAAGTGTGATTCCAGCCTTTTAGTAGTAATTATAGTACTAGTAGTAGCAGCAGGATAGGAGTAGTAGTATTCCTGCTGATGGTATTTTTGTCATGCAAGTGTGATTCCAGCCTTTTAGTAGTAATTATAGTACTAGTAGTAGCAGCAGGATAGGAGTAGTAGTATTCCTGCTGATGTCACTTTTGCCATACAAGTGTGATTCCAGACTTTTAGTAGTAATTATAGTACTAGTAGTAGTAGCAGGATAGGAGTAGTAGTATTCCTGCTGATGGTATTTTTGTCATGCAAGTGTATACCCTGTTTCCCCGAAAATAAGACCTACCCTGAAAGTAAGACCTAGCACTATTTTTCAAGATTCCTGTAATATAAGACCTACCCTGAAAATAAGACCTAGTTCGGCGGTAGCATGTGAGGGGGAACTTGCAGGAGAGATGGTATCAGCCTGCAGGGACATACTGTATTAAGGGGATGACAGGGGACTCCCCCCAGCCAGCGCGGTGACACGGAGCACTCCAGTACCTTTCTTCACAAACTGCTGTCCCCCGAAGACACTGCTTAATGTAATGGTACTGTAATGTGTACCGGTAGATGGTACTGTACTTTACCATGCTGTCCACTGTCTGATGTCCCCACTGCTGCACCGCTGGTACCGCTGTCCCTGGTGGCAAAGGAAGCCGGCGCTGTAGAATGCAAGGCTGCGGCGGCAGCAGAGCCACATTAGCCGATATTCCTCTAGAGCGCCAGTTACTGTGACAGGCGGAGTGACACCAGATAACTTTAGATTGTTGTAGATTTTGCTGCACATTAAAAAAAAAGACATCCCCTGAAAATAAGACCTAGTGTGGTTTTTGGGGGCAAAAAAAATATAAGACAGTGTCTTATTTTCGGGGAAACACGGTAGTAGTAGTAGCAGGATAGGAGTAGTAGTATTCCTGCTGATGTCACTTTTGCCATACAAGTGTGATTCCAGACTTTTAGTAGTAATTATAGTACTAGTAGTAGTAGCAGGATAGGAGTAGTAGTATTCCTGCTGATGGTATTTTTGTCATGCAAGTGTGATTCCAGCCTTTTAGTAGTAATTATAGTACTAGTAGTAGTAGCAGGATAGGAGTAGTAGTATTCCTGCTGATGGTATTTTTGCATTACAAGTGTGATTCCAGCCTTTTAGTAGTAATTATAGTACTAGTAGTAGTAGCAGGATAGGAGTAGTAGTATTCCTGCTGATTGTATTATTGTCATACAAGTGTGATTCCAGCCCTTTAGTAGTAGTTATAGTAGTAGTAGCAGGATAGGAGTAGTAGTATTCCTGCTGATGTCACTTTTGTCATACAAGTGTGACATATTGCTTTATTACACAAGGACCATGACAAACCGAATTCTTGAGGTGTTACTCATGACAAATACACAGGAAGCTGACTGTTCATACAATAATAACAGCTGGACCAGTCATGATTTGACTCAATCACACAAATCTGAACTTTTATTCTACATCATTAGAATTCTGGTTATGAGAGACTTCCATTTTTCATTCTTTTAGGTGTGCTGTGTGCATGGGAACACATAACACACTTATAGTAGGGGGGAGGGGGACTTAAACTTGACTGCAAACATGGAAATACACTTTAAGCTAGATAAACCGTCATATATAAATGGCCATTTATGAGGAGTGATCAGCAATCATTCCGCCTCTTGTACAGTGTCAGCGGTGACCGGTTCTCTTCCACTATGAAGCTCTGCTCCCTCACTGGCTGTGGATGAGTACATGAGCTCCAGCACGGCACTGAGCTGGTTAAGCCTGATCTCCTTGCCACTCCCTGATTGGTCAGTGGAAACAAAGCCCTAGTAACGGAGCCCCGTCCCGGATTGGCTGCTGGTAACCAAGACGTACGACTTTAAGAGAGCAGGGAGTGAGTCCGGGAGGTTCGGGCACAGAGAGACGGGGGACAGGAGGGAGTGTGTACAGGGAAGAGGAGGGGGACGGAGAAGAAGACGGAGGACAAACATGACAGTGTAACGGGACAACAATGCCAGGGGCAGAAGAATTCTCTCTGTGATGTGGGGATGGAGAATCAGGAGCTGATCAGTGCAGCCGAGATTATCAAGGGTGAGAGGATCTGTCTTCTTTATATGTGTGTGCGCATGGACTACACTTCACTGCCTCCCTCATTGCGTGCCTGGACTACACTTCACCGCCTCCCTCATTGTGTGCATGGACTACACTTCTCCTCCCCCTTCATGGACTACACTTCCCCTCCTTCTGCATTGTCAGCTGGAGTACAGTTCACCTCCTCCGTCATTGTGTGCATGGACTACACTTCACATCCTCCTTCATGGACTACACTTCCCCTCCTTCTGCATTGTCAGCTGGAGTACAGTTCACCTCCTCCGTCATTGTGTGCATGGACTACACTTCACATCCTCCTTCATGGACTACACTTCCCCTCCTTCTGCATTGTCAGCTGGAGTACAGTTCACCTCCTCCGTCATTGTGTGCCTGGACTACACATCACCTCCTCCCTCATTGTGTGCCTGGACTACACATCACCTCCAGCCTCATTGTCTGCTCTTCCTCCTTGCATGGTATATACTTGGACCTCCTATAATGTCCCAAGGCGTATTTTAGAAGCAGATTGCTGTCACTCATATATATATATATAGATAGCAGCAGAGACTTCATGTTAATACCATATCACCTTCATGGGGAGACCCCCCACAGTAAATCTAGGGAAGGACAGGACCTTATCTTCACCCCACATTATAGATCTGTGTGACAAACTACAATCACTGCAACTCATTTATTGGATGCATACAATCTTATTATTATTTACCCCTCTTCCCTCCTTCCCTACTCTACCCAACTCTAAAAGCTTTGGGCTGTAAACACCCTTTATCACCCGATCTGTAATTTCCAGGCAATATCAGCTGCAACCGAGCATCTTATAATCAGCAAAACTCTTGAACTCTGGGATTTTTGTAAAATATACCCTTACAGTGCGCCCCCCCCCACACACACTCTGCAAGGGTTAAATGCTTGTTAAAGTAATATTAAACTCTATTTTTTTTCAATCATGAATCCAGACCAAACAAGTATCCATTGCCCAACCAAGTATTTCTTTACATTTTTCCCCAAGCGCTTACAGTCATCGGAGTGGAGACTGTGCCTTGTGCTCTTGAACTGGACAGGAAGTTCAAGGAATGTGAGCTGAGAGAGTTGGGGCTGTTTGGAAACATGATGGGGGGGATTTGTCAAAACTGGAGCAGCCAAAATATGGAGCAGATTTGCACTGCAGCCAATCAGCTTCTCTGTCTCATTTTCAAATCTTACCTGAGCAAACTGTAGAGAGATGCTGATTGGTTGCCACGGGCAACTGCTCCAGATTCTCTCTGCTCCAGTTTTGATAAATTCCCCCCGATATCATGTTTCCAAACCGCCCCAACTCTCTCAGCTCACATTTCTTGAACTTCCTGTCCAGTACAAGAGCACAAGGCACAGAGCACAGTCTCCAGCAGTCATCCAGAAGGGATGGGGGACGAGAGGGGGGAGTAGGGGGGAGAGAAGTGGCTTGCGTTGCTGTGCTTACTAGCGAGGGTGTCTCCATAGGACCCTGCAAGGGAAAGGAGCCAACCTAAAACAGGATATCAGGGTCAGTGCTCAGGTATGAGCTGATTCTGCAGGGAGCTAAAACTTTTAAACATTAAAAAGCATCATCCATTGTAAGCGATTTCATCAGCATTTGAACTAGCAGACAAACATGTTGACTTGAATATCACTTTAAGTCTAGGGGTAGAGGAATAATCTGTAGTGCTTACCTTACCCCTCACTCTGGAAGGCTCCCTAAATCTGTGTGATTGGCCCCCTGAAGCCTCTTCTCCTTGGCACACCGGCTGGTGGTCGCACTGTGATGTCATCACATGCGTCTACTTACATCCTTTTACCTCTGCCATGTTTAGGTGTGAAGAAACAGAAGGACAGACAAATCTTTTCCGTTTTTCTGTTTTCCATTTACGCCTGTTAAGGTCCGGCTGCCCGTAGACTGACATTGAGGGGATTTTATCAAAACAGGAGCATACAAGATCTGGAGCAGCTGTGCATGGCAACCAATCAGCTTCTCTCTTTCATGTTTAAACCTTAACTGAGCAAACTAAAGAGGGTAGCTGACTGGTTGCCATGGGCAACCAATCAGCTTGTCTGCTCCAGTTTTGATTAATTTTACCCCCGTTGAGCTTCCGATCAGATCCGCCTAAAAACCGACAGGTGGATTTGAACGGAACGGCTGTGTGAAAGGGGACCTAAAAAAATATTTTAAATCTTGCTGCTTACTTCTTTTCTTGTTTACAAACCCTACTCGGCTTTCCCCTTCTGTGCAATGTTAAAAATCTCAAGGCCTGGGTGGTACAGTGAGGGTAATTTATCAAAACTGGAGCAGTTCCCCATGGCAACCAATCAGCTTCTATCTTTCGTTTTCAAAGCTTAACTGAACAAACTGAGAAGAGAAGCTGATTGGTTGCCATTGGCAACTGCTCCAGATTCTATCTGCTCCAGTTTAGATAACGTCCCCCCATTGTATGTTAATGTAGTTTAAAAAATTGCCGCTCAGTCTGCCCCCTAAGGGCTCATGCACAAAGGAGATTGCACCCGGACAAAATAAATTCAGCCGTATTTCCAACTCAGAGAGCCACCGGTGCTATGTAAAGCCTCCCATATAAGTGGGTGGCTGTACATGAGTATATGTTGGTACTTCTACACACCCGTGCCAGGGCAGGTGTCATCGTCCGTGTGCACAGCCTGGTATATATGCTGACTTTC